TTTAAAAAATCTTGTTGTGTGTGTGCACAAAGACAACAGCAAAACGAATCCCCATCGTGACTCAGCGGGCAAAGTTCTGTAGAGGGCAGTGTGGAGCCGCGCAGTCTGGAACTGCATGCTTTTGTCACCACATTTGCAGTTTAAGGGACAGAGTCCGCCGGTTCCATGCTGAGTGGGGTGAGAGGAAGAATGCCCGGCCTGGCATCATGCCCCAACCTGCGGGACCTGTGAATATGTTAGATTACATGGTGAAGGGGAATTTAGCTTCACCTGAAATTAGTATTGCTAACTAGCTGACCTTGCAAAGAGAAGATTACCCTGGATTGTCCGAGGGCTCAAGGTAACCACAGTGTTCATAAAAGTGAAAGAGGCAGGCAGAAGAAGGTGTCAGAGAGCATTGGTATGAGAAAGACCAGCCACTGCTGGCTTCAGAGCTGGAAGAGGCCATGAGCCAAAGATGCAGGCAGCTCAGGAAGCTGGAAAAGGAAGGAAAGTGGCTTCTACGGAAGCCTCCAGAAAGAAATGCAGCCTCAGTGTGTCTAGTGACACCCATTTCTGACTTCCCATGTCCAGAACTGTTAAGATAATAAATTACAACATGTTTTAAGCCACCAACTTCTGTAATTTGTTACAGTAGCTGTAGGAAACTAAGATGCCACATCTCATTCATACCCCGGTGAGGCTCTCTACAGTCGGATCCCACCCAACCTACCCAGCTTTCTCTCTCTTTTTATTTATCCAGCTTCTGCTGTCCTGCTCCAGTGAGATTGGTCTCCTCCCTCCACATTCCCTATACTCATTTCCACTCCCTAGCTCTTTGCCCTTCTGTGGGTTTCTATGATCAAGAAAGAATTTCTCCCTCTTGCTGGAATGAACCTGTGTGGACACGGTTTCTTCTTCCCTTGAACTACTATCGACCTTGACTGCCCTGACTGTTCTGATGCTCAGATGTTAAAAGATTTCAACCAAAATGAATTGAATTTCTGCCATGTGCCGGCACTGATGGCATGGAAGTGAGGAAGATTAAAAGGTTTACTTTTATGGACACACATGGACTAGTTGAAGAGATATACACAGAAGCCGTTACTAAACAATATGCCACCTACTCTACCTGGAGTCCGTTGAGTTTTTGACAGTATAGAGGGAAAGGAGTGACTGACTGCTTCATAGGACACGTCCAGGAAGGGCAGGTGCAGTGTAGGTCAAACCTGTGGGCTGACTCGCCAGCGAGGAGGCAGCAGGAACACCCACGGCCTCTGCTTCACTTATGGCGTAGGAATAGCCCACAAATCTCGGAAAAGCTTAAAGATTTTTTGCTTTGCCTTTGGAAATAATAGTGGGCAAGGTACAACTAAATTACAGAATCAAGATGGTAAGGGAGGCAGATGCGGAGTCCCAGCTGGCACCGAACAGCCGGGCCAACCCCGAGGCCCCCACGTCACGGTGTGTGCAGGCAGATCCAGAGCAAGTGACGTGCTGTCAACATTTACGTGTTGACTGCAGTTAAGTGCGCTGCTTGTTTAACAGTTCTCCAATAGACTGGAAAATACTTAATTAAAGTAATGGAACACCCAAAACACTTCTTATTCATGATACTACAAACGTATGTTTCTCATGCCTTTATGTTTTTCATGCCTTTAAACTAATAGTTTTATGTCGATGATTCTGAAATCTGTCTACCTGTCTGTCTCTAGTCATTAGTCCTCACCTTTGCTCTAGTTCCTGATTGAAAACATCTTACAGGACATTTCTGATGAGAATTGCTGTCATCATGACAGTGTTTACATGTCCCAAACCAAATTACTGTTATCCAAGAACCCCAGGAATCTCTCCCCAAATCTTGGTTTCTGTTATTAATATCAACATTATTGGTCCCCAAGGTATTCCATACTGAGAATATATTAGAGCAGAAAAAAGTCTGGAGTAGTTGTCAGGACTTGGGGGTCTAGTTTAGATTCTGCCATTCACATAATTTTGGTTAATTCACATAAACTTCAGGATCTGTTTATTCATGTTCAAAATGGAGAGCCTGGACTGGAAACTAGATGAGTCATTTATTTCACAAATATGTTTTTTTTTAATCTTCACCTGAGGATATGTTTATTGAAAAGAGAGAGACAGAGAGAAAATATCAGTAGATTTCTGCCTTGTCTGGGAACTGAACTTACAAAGTTTTGGTGTATGGGATGACACTCCAACCTATGGAGCCACCCAGCCAGGGCACAAACATGCTTTCAGCATCTGTGATGTGTCACTGAGCCATTAACAGAGTCTGGTTTGGGGCTATGATGTCCACCGAGCTCTCAGTGTCTCCTGCATCAGTCTATCACTAAGCCCCATTGATTCTGTCTTCCCAGTGTCTCTGAATGGGCCATCCCTTCAGTCTCCTGCTGCCATCACTCATGTCAGGAAGGGCTCTCACTTCCTCCTGCTGGGGTGTCTGCTGGAACCTCCTCCCTGGCTCTCTGTGTCCCCCGCACTAAGCCAGGCTGCACAGTTCGCTCTTGCCAGGCATGCGCCTCCTCATGAACCTCGTGCTTTCTGTTGCCTCTTATCCCTGACAGCCCCATTTTGTAGACTGTTGTCAAGGGTTTTCTGTGGTCTGTCCTTCCGTCACATCTCATTTTATTCCTGTTTTCCAACGTGAAACTCATTTTTCATCACGTCAGTCTTCTCATGCTTCCCCAAACACGGCTCTCATGTCCGTCTCCACGCGGGCTGCGCCCCTGGGCTCGTATGCTTCTCTGACCTCACCGTGACCACCCCATCCCACGGGGCTCAGTGGGAGCCACATAGCTTCCTTGGAGCCCCACCCCACCCCCTCGTTTATCTTCCACGGCCCCCACTGTGGTTTTTTTTTCATGTTTAGAATATTTAGCTGCGGAACATTACAGCATCCTCATTTGCTAAATGTGCAGGTCTCGCAGCTTCAGTACGTTTGGGAGCGCTTTAAGCACAGGTGCTGCATCCGACGTGTCTTTTCATCCCAGCCCAGGCCCAGGCACGCGAGAGTCGAGATTAAGACCGTGAATTCCTAAGTTTGGCTGCATGAGTTCTTAACATGGGTTCATCTTTCCCAGCTGTGTGACAGTAGGATATTCACTTACCCTCTCTGAGCTTCCATCTTCATATTTGTAAAATTGGTGCATCAGCATCATTTGCCTTCGTTACTTACTAGTTAGTATGAGTAGAGGTTTTAGAACAGATCTTGATACATAGTGAATGCTCAAGAAGTATGAGCTACTATTATTTCATTGTATTGTTGTTAGAATTAAATGACATAATTAATGTAAAACCCTCAGCATACTACCTGGCCTATAGTAAGTATTTAGTAGATATGAGCTTTATTATTATTATGATGATGATGATGATGATGATGTTTAACAGGTGAAAAGATTTGGTGGAGAATAGTCATAGTCATAATTATTGTTACATATTTAAAACATATGAAGTAGCATTATAATGACCTCTGTTTTTTAAAGACAAAGAAAGTGAGGTTTAAAGCAGTTAACTAACTTGATGAGGTCAGACGCCTAGGAAGCCACGAGTGGATTAAACACCCAGGAAGCCTGACTGCAGAATCTGTGCCCTTCAAACCGTTATTCTTGAGCTCCTGCCCCTCCCCCCCCCAAGGCAGCATGAGGGGAGTTTGGACCTAGTGGTGAAGATGAACATGGAATGGGGGTTCACACGGCCTTAGTTCCCATCCTGGCTTTACTACTTACCCGGGCATGATATTCAATCCTCCAGAGGTTGTGTTTCCTTATCTGTAAGGTGGGGACCATAATACCTCCTTAGTAGGATTGCGGTGGGAAGTAAGAGGTAATGTAAGTAAAGCTCCCGGTGCAAGGCCTGGCCTTTGTAGGTATTCAATACATTTTCTGTTTCTTCTGCTTTCTCTCCCTGTTGAGAATTTGAGCTAAAGGTTCTACTTTGTGTGTCTGATTAGTCTGTGATGTGAATTGAAATGCAATGTTGAGACCAGAGAAGCAACCCGTAAGAGTCAATATTGCGTCGACCTTATAAATAACCAAACATGACTGGTATTCATGACATGTGAACACCTGGCACAGCTTACTCATGGCCACTGTCAAAGCAGTATTTCTAAGTAGATGGAGTTCCTTCCACAAGTTGTGGCAGGTTCCGTTGGGGAAAGTCTTTTGCCAAGAGGGTGGGGGTGAGTGAGGAATTTGAGATTGCAAATATAGTGTGAGTTGAGCATCTGGTTGAGCCTGCGACGAGTGGAGAATGCCTGGACTTTGAGCAAGCGTTCTGTCAGCCTTTTGAAGGTCATATCCCTCTTTGATGGGCATGCCTCTAGAATTTTCCTAGGATTGTTTTATTTTAGTCTTTGGACTGAGTTGGTGATGACACAATCTGTGGTCGAAAATAGCACGAATAATTGGGTTAGAGGCAACATTAATGTCCCAAGATGTTAATAAGGCCGCTGCCAAGAATTCATAGATGGGAGGCCCCTTCCCAGACTTGATTCCTCAGTAGGCACAGGTTATATGATATGTTTCAGCAGCGAGTAAGAGAAAAACATCAGCCTCTTGCATATGTTGTAACCTTCAAGTAAGCAGTACACAGGCTACACTTTCCTTTTCTTCCTTTTAAATTTTTAATCAAGACGTGTCACCTTACACAGAGTGGACGGTCTCTGCAGCTTCACTGCCCCCTCTGAGGGCAGCTGCTGACCAGTGCAGCAGCCAGGCAGTCAGCCCTCCAGTGGGAAGGAAATTCAGGTTAGATATACTCAAATACCTGCTTCTTCACAAAGTCTGTGAGGATTCTCTCTATTTGTCCATCCATCCATCCATCCAGGCAAGCTCATCCATTTGTTGAACTACTGTCTTTCAAAAACTGAGAATTCTGCTCAGGCTACAAAGATGAACAAAACAAGGTCTGTCCATTAGGGTATTCACCGACTGATGGGGAGACAGACGTGAAAACAAATGGTTTAGAAAACAATAATAAGGGACACGCAATGCCAGGGGAACTCCAAGGAACATGTTGTCTTTATTTGGTGTTTACTGAATTCTCAGTTGGCAGATGCCGATGTATCCTTGTCATAGTAACAGTTTTTGAGAGGAAAAAGAGGGGCTACATCTACTTCGAATGTACTTGTTTATTGTGTGACGTGTTCTGGCTTCAGTAATGAGACGGGCCGAAACCCTCGTGCCTCGTGTTTAAGACAGTACAGACACCGGAAGGCAGGATTCCAAAGCAGTTTCTCTCAGCGATGTTCCAGTGCAGTTTCCTGTGGAAAGGCACAGATTTAGGGATGGTCTTGCCCCCTGAAGTAGCAACCATGGCATTTCCAGATTGGCAAGGACTCAGCAGGCAGCACAGAGGAAGGTGGTCATTGAACACAGAGTGGAAAGTAGGTGGAGCCTTGAGGGTTGGGCCTGAATTCTCCACGTTCATCCCTAGGGAGAGTCCCAGAGGCTGAAAGGAGCCCCTCATACCTTGTCCAAGGCTCTTCTCTGTCCTCCAAACAAGGAGACCCCCAATCCCAGTCCAGGAAGTCAGTGTCTCAGAAAAGAGTATTCGATTTAGAGTCTTTCCCTGCAGAGAGACTTGGAAAAGCTATGGGTTCCAAGTCTTTTAGATGAACCCATCCCCAGGCTCCTGTTGGGAGGTCATCAGAGCCTGAGGGTCATAGACAGTAACTTTGAAAATACACATCCTTGTTGCCTTCAAAGTAAATAAAACCTCGAAGGTGATAATCCAGCAGGTGCACTGAGGGCTGTGTCCTTCTGACCTGTGGACAGAAGCTGAAACAGGCGGGCATCAGGCAGCCTTCTGGACTGTAGATTAAGCCTGCTGATTGCATGGTTGATTTGAATGTAATTAGGACCCAGTGAAAAGGTCTCCGGCCTTGTGAGGCATGAGAGGCACCGTGACTTGGTGCAGAAAACAGGGGCTTTGGACCACCACTGGCTGTTCTTTTATGTAGACAAACTAACATTGGGTAAATAACTTCCATGAGCCTATAAAAACCATGAGAACAGGCTATCGTGAATAATAAATTATGAGATATGAGCCAGAGTAATGCCTAGCAAAAAAAAAAGGATTTACTTTCAGGGTGTCCCTGCTTGACATGGCAGCCAGTCAGTAAATAATTCTGCAATGATTCATCCTCAGGGACGACAATAGTGACCTTTACTGAGTCTTCATTATGTACCAGGTTACACTGCCTCCTTCACATGTGTTATCCCATTTACTCCTTGCAGTAAGCCTTTGGGATAATAGTATTATCCCTATTTTATGGACAGATAAGGCAACTGAGGCTCCAACAGGTTCAGTAATTTACCTGAGTTCCCAGAGTTAGTAGGCATTAGAGTGACGATTCCCTCCTAGGTCGGGGTCTGACTCAGGGGCACATGTGTCTAGCAGCAGTGTTACAACACGTGTGGAGTTGGTACGCGAGGACACCCAGAACCGTGGCATTCTGTCCTGCACACTGTAGGACTGCTGCAGGCTGCAGTCAAGTGAGCACTGAAGGGAACAAGGTACCATTATGGCATCTGATAGGTCTATAGGTTCGTGACCGTGAGACCCAGAATTCTAGGAAATGAATTAGGATTTCTGCAGACTGGCAAGGGGCCATATTGTGTGACTTTAAGTGTAGTGTGAAGGGTGGACAGAGTGAAGGTCATGGAAGGACTGTCCACAGTCACACAAGTGGTGGCTCCCATGGAACTAGAAAGTCTGGGGAAGGGTGCTGTGGTTCATTCAGGTCCTTCACTATTCAATCCCGGTGAGTGGAAGGAGACATACTGCTGTCAGTGACGTCTCACCTGAACCCGAAGGGTGACGAGTTTAGGTTACGTCATTGTTAACAGTGTGAAGGCTCTCATCTCAGTGTCCAGACGGGTGAGCACGGTGGGCCCAGGAACTCAAGGAGGCGGGTTCACTCTTTGCAGTCTGAAGTTGTCACACTGGCCTCAAAGTAGTTGCTTTGATTGAGAAAATTTTCTTATGGTATTGTAAGTCCTGGACTTTAGGTCGAGACGTAGACCCAGTGTGTTTCCTTTTCCTGAGCTACAGGTTATCACAGCTGTGTTTAATGATGTCACAGATACCCGACCAGACAGATACAAGACGTCCCCGCAGGCTCTCTGCCCCGCTGATTACCGGACAGTGGGATATGCAGCAACGGGGGCCCCACTCCTGTCCTCAGCACAGTTCAATTTTGATTCAAGGGAAAACCAAAACACCGCTAGTTGTTTTAAGTGTGAAGATCACATCTAGCAAAGTGGAGTTGATTGAAACATTTTATGAGGAAACTCATGAAGTTTTACTGGCAAAATTATTTCAACGTTTACAGGTCTGAACACTTGACATTTGGGTGTGAGCCTAACTGAGTGGTTGTGAACAGAGAATGATGGTTAATAACTATTTCTCCAAAGAGGTTGAAATGTTTAGGAGAGTTGAAACAGGGTCTTTGTAAATTTTAACACATTTACTAACAGACTAGATGAAAGGACAAATCATTTGTGATACAAGTAATCATTAAAACCTGCCATGATAATGAAGAGCAAATGGTATTGGGTTCCCTCTGTGTTACCTAAGAGAAGTCAAATGATGTCTTTGAACTCAAAAAATTTTTTCAAAAAATTATTGAAAGCTTATTATTTTCCATGCATTTGTTAAGAGATTTACATATATCAACTCATCCTTGCTATATATAATTCTATGAGGTAAATGCTATTATACTCTGCATTTAATCCTGAGGACATGCAGGCTCAGAGAGGTACATAAACTTGCTCAAGTTTGCACAGCCACCATTGACAAGCCTAGAGTTCAGACCTTTGAGTCTCTAACTGCAAAGCTAGTACCTTTCTCCACTCCTCCCATCTGTTTCATGGGGGTGGTGGTTGGGAGTAATGCAGGATTTTTGCAGCACACCTGAGATGGGGTTCCAAAATTATCGTTACTAGCGGGGACGTTATATGACTTACTTGGAGGTGCCTAAAGCTGTTTCTCTGGTCAGCAGTTGCTCCCTCGCACACATCCACAGGTATAGGCGTTAAATCCAATGCCTTGAGCACAGCCAGATGTGGTGGGTGGAGGGGACTCAGCTCCCGAAGTGGAATCCAGTGAGGGCCGATGGCGGTGCAGTGAGAGGCTCTTAGCCAGCCACCTCCCTCTTGGTGCTGTGGTCTTTCTGGCCCGGATGGATTAAACCTTCGGCCAGAAGTACTTCTCAGCCCCTGGTATTTCTTAATTCAGTGAAGTATTTCACAAGCTTCAGAGTTAGCGGTATAATCAACATGTCTCAAAATCTCTTCCCTCCTTCAGAGGCTACAGACTGGTTTGTTTATCCCTGGATTCTGTGGCTTAAGTACTGCAGCAAATCGTTCCTTGAATTTTTTTTTCATCCTGTGCTTCTCTCTCTCGGCCTTCTAATTATTCCATCACACCCTCTAGTATACTCCCTTGTCCTCCTGCTTGTGGGGGCCCTCTTCCCGGGTAACCCCTGAGAAACGGTGCTGAGTGGTCTTGTCAGCGCCATCTCGCCGCCCAGTGCCCTGCACTGAGCTTCTCAAGCGCAGGAGATGTGCTGCAAATGCCAAGTACACCGGGCTGGTGTTGGACGAGGCTTCCGATCTGCGCACTTGAAACCAGCCGTCCCTGGGCCCCCGTGGTTCACGCTGGCATTTGGGGCCGGATACAAACCAGACCTTCGTGTACTTCCATAAGTGTCAGCATTCACGAAAGTTGAATATGAGTGAGCAACTCGTATTTTTATAATTCCATTTAAATAATGTAATCTATTACCATAAATTTACATGTTACTCTACTGCAGATCAAGTTGTACCAGGCTGAGTTCCAAGCACAAAGTGTATCCCTTCTGAATATTATCCTTTTCGTGGAGAGTCTTAGGAGGGACACAGACTATATTTTACATTTTAAGAAGTGATTTATTTTCAGAACGTTCAGGTTTTCAACCACTGTGACTATTTGTCCAGTCTTCCCCAGATCCCACAGAGCAGGCAGTGTCCAGCTGGATGGGGGAGTGCAGCTCATGTGTTTATTCACTGCGTGCTGTTGAATCACCTCTCTGTTCCCGGCCCGCCGAGTGTTAGATGTGTGGGGAGAGTGTGAACGGGCTGGGTCGATGCCTTGACTGCAGCCTGTGTCACTTGACTCCACACCAAAGAGCCCAGGTGTCCTGGAGTAGAACTACTTAGCAGTCGGCACAGGGAAAATCTCTGCTCACAAAGTGGCTGATTCGACACTGCAAAGAGAGATTTATGACCAAAGGAAACGGGGCCCCGCCGACACCCCCGGCTGCTTTAGGGCTGCCTGCCCTGTGGAGCCTGCGCAGGGGCACACGCTCCTACCTGTCAGAACCCGAGGTTCTTTTAGGTGCCACCACCCAGAGGACCACAAGGGGGTGCTTTCCTCCTTTTAGGTTATGACTTTCTGAAATGCAGCTCCTCGTACTTTGTAGATCCATGTTTCTGGGCCCTAAGAAATTCACTGTATCTAGCTGTGGGCCAGCAGACTTGATTCTAGGGGAGAGGAAGGCGTAGATTTTTCAGTGTATGTTCATTTATCTAATGTCCATTTCCTCTCTTGAGCTACAAGCTCTGAGGACCAGGTCTTGTCTCTTGCCCATCCCTCTTTCCTGTGACTTGTTTAAAGTCTGGCATGTACAAAGCCCATAATAAATATTTGTGATTTTAAAGAACTGACCTTCCCTTGAAGTCCTAACTCCCAGGTTTTCAACTTTTTTGCTCGTTAGAATCACTGAGGTCAGCAGTCCTGGGATTCTCAGTCAGTTTCTGGGGCAGGTCTGGGAATGTGACTCTGAAGAGCTCTTGTGTCGTTCGCAGTTGAGGCCTGCTGGCCAGCTGTCCCGGCACTGAACACAGCTATTCTATCTTGTGCTCCTCTGCCCTTTTGGGCCAGCGAGTTCTCAGCTGCTTGGGCAACAAGAACCTGCCTCCAAGATCCTGTCAATGTGACCAAGCCCCGGTCCCATCCTTCTCTTCTTCTTCCTCTCATGAGCATCTCTTCGGCCATCCCATCCTATAGGAGGAGGAAATGTTCCCAGAGATGCCTTCGCCTGCTGGCCCTGGGAGGACACCTGGGAAGATACTTGGAAAGATACCTGCAGCATCACAGATCCTGGTCACCACCACGGGGGTTAGCCTCTTCTGCAGGCTGGGACATCGTTAACAGGTGCCACCTACTTCAGTCACACTAATAGGCCACAGTAGTCACTGATACTGTAATGGAGACTGTTCCTAAGTTGAGGAGGGCCTTTCTCTCACAGCTGTGGCTTCCAATACAACCACGTCCTGAGAAAATCTGTTTTCCATGTTTTTGAGAAGGAAATGTATATGCGTATCATGATGACTTTGGGGAGAATAACTTTTGATAAAGAGGAGTCCTTTTGTTTTGTGGTTTGGCATTGCTGGGTAGATGACACAGCACAAGGAGCATGGGCCGTGGATCAGATGGCCCTGCACACAACCCCCAGCCCGCACGTGCACCTCATTCATTGGTCGGGTCTGTGGACAAACGAGTTAACCCCTTTGAGTCTTAGTGTCCTCATCTCCAAGCCTGGAGAATAATACTTCACATGGCTATGAAACAACTGCTCTGCACAGACCTGCTTTAATTACTTATGAAGTTGTCAGCTCATAATCAATGTCTATATAAGAAATAGTGTTTGAAACATATTTGAGGTTCTATTTACGGACGTTGTAGAGGAAGTTGTTTTGTCTATGATGCAGCGTGTCTCCTCGTTGAAGAAATTCTTATTTGGTGTTAATACCAAGAACAGTTTCTCTTCACTGTACCTTAATCTTATGGACTTGGTGATTTGTTTAATTGATGGGTTTTCCTTCTTTGAACTAATTGCTAGAAAGCCTAAAGTCAAGCGTGTGGTCCTTCAGTGTCAAATTGTACACGCCATGATGACATGCAGCTTTGGCCTCCTACACGGTCCATTTACACACTTGCTGTTGTTTCTTAAATTTGCTCTCACTTTTCATTAATGCTGTTGTGCTTGTTTTAAATACTCCTCTAAGCTGGTTTCTAGCACTTCTGAAGAAAACAGAATAAGAAAATTGATTACTAAGTAAAGTAACAGGCACGTTTAATTTAAAGCTGTTTTCACAGTGCCTGGCCAAAAGTAGATATGTAACATAAAAGTTTTATATCATCCTAGTAAACAAGTCTAATCCTCCTTTGTGGATCTAAGTTAGTCTCTCATGGCTTATATTAGGAAGCGGCTAATAAAGTGATATGCACTGTAGCAAGTTTCCCACACTGGAAAGGTGTTACTGTATTGGATAAGAGTATGTAACTGCAAAACAAGCTGAGGGCCCAAATGGTCCAATTTTGGCATGAATTCCCTAATAATAAGCTCAGCCTGGACCAAAAATAATTTTAAAGTGATTTCAATCTTTACTTGACTCTCTGAAAGCACATAGCAGGACAACCTGTCCTTATCCATCAGCAACGTATCATGAAGTCCTGCTGCTGTTCCTCTTCAGTTCTCCTCTCATAACCTCCAAGCATATCTGTTGGCAACTAAACATACTCCCTTCCGCACCGACCTCCGAGCTCTTTATCAAGTGGGCTGGCCAAGCTTCTTCGGCTAGAGTCTCCCTGTTTCCTCACACCTCTGGCTTCTTCCCCGTTACTCATTCTCTGATTCTGTGTCATAAAAGATTTATGAAGTAGGCTGACAAAGACAGTTCTTTGCTTGTGGGTGGGTTAGGGAATTCTCGCACATTAATAAGTCTTCTCTGTCACCCGGGAAATAAAGGGTGATTAACGCTGTGTGGTAGGAGAGGAGAGAACTCTGGGATGTGGCTCAGCCTCAGGAAGACACTCAAGGCACGTTCAGGCAAAGGTCAGAGCCGTGCTCTGCTCATCTGCCTCGACCCAAGCTTCCCTTGGCCCTGGGATAAAGAACTTAATGGCATCTGTAACCTGGTAGTAGAGCCACAATCCCCTTGTGTTGGATGGAGCTGACGGTAGTGGCTCAGAGTCGGGGGATCATGACAGGAGTGAATGATCGCCCTACTCTTGGTTTTCTGTGGATGATGTGGGAAGGGCCACCCAGGCTCGTCCAGCCTCTGGGTGGAGTGAGGGAGAGGATATTGGTGCAAGGAAGTCGCAGCTTCATTGTACACCCAGTTTGCTAGTGGGAAGAGGAGGCAGCTGTACACTGGTTGGGTTCTTGTTCTGAGAAATCCAGGAAATAGTGTGTCAGTTTATTGTGAGCCTGTATGTTGACTTGGTACCGTGGGGTTAATTAATTAATATGATCATTTAAAGTTGAAGTGATGTGTTTTCCCCTCTCATTTTAGGTCACATTCTTTTCATCAGTGAACATTAATTGAGTGCCTACTTGCCAATTCCAGTAAGTGCGAAGAACATCAAGGCAGCCCCTGCCCCCCAGGCACTGCAGAGACAGTGAAGGAGGTGAGTGTCACGAGGGCAACCGGAAAACGACATGTTCAGCGCCATACCTGAGGTGTGAACAGAATGCCATGGGAACCCAGAAGAGGGCCAGACCGGCTCACCGGACCTGGCGGGGCGGGGGGGGGGGGCAGGGAGCAGGACACTGGGGCTTGGGTTGAAGGATGAGGAGGCATTTGCTCATTTGCTGGGGTTATATTTACCAGATTATAGTTGGACCACACTACCTCGTAAATATTAGACATCTTCTGGCCAAATATGGTCTTAGCATTTGGTCTTTCGGTTCTGTAGTTAGTGACAGACCATGGTAGCATCCCTGGAATGTTCTTCTGAGCTAAAGAATTTTAAAAAGTCATACACAGTCAGAGACAAACCACATTCTTGGGGCTTGGCAGATAAATGCTCTGGTACATTGTTGATGAGGCCTGTGGAAGACTTTCACTTGGGCCACTCAGCATTTACTTCCTGTGGCGACAGCTCCGTGCAAACTATGCACTGACCGCGTGGTAACTGGGGAGGATGATCATTCTTTTGTCAGAGCCACTGGAGGAGCTCTAGGTCCAGGCTGTTGCTGGAAGGTGCTGTCACTGGGGGTGCCGGGAGTGCCCAGGACTCTGCACAGTCCGTCCCCACTGTTTGGATTCCCTCCAAACAGAAGTATGGCTGTTGGGTTACAGCTGGACTCTGGAGGCGTTGCTAGACACTTACGGTGAGCGTCGCCACTCCAAAGGGCAGCGCAGTGGCAGCGCATCTCTGAGGCCTTCTTCAATGTCAACTCTGATTTAGAGCTCTGTATTTCTTTCTTAGCGTTTGTTATAAAAGCGACCGTTAAATACGAGGTTTTGGTGACTGAAACAGTTGGAGGCCACAGCCAGGCTGACAGCTTTAGTGGAGAGTTTATTTTCATTTTCTTCCCCTCCAGCCTGGCCCCACTCTAAATTAGGTTGTGATCGTCATAACAAAGCTCCTCCTTGCCCTTGTGTGAAAGCACACCGCAGGCCTGGCATCTGCCCGGGGCCTCATTTGGGACCGGATCCCACAGCATTTTACAGCTTTCATCTCCCATGTTTCCCAAAGGTTTATGGTACTGTTCTCTAAATAGCATTTCAGGAACTGTTGTTCCAAACAACATGAATTCTCTGGGGTGTTGAATAGATCCTGAGGAGAAGCACTGTCCGCACTGTTGTGGCTCTCACTGTGTTAGTGCCGGAACCCCCAGTGACGCGGGTTAGTTAAGGTGTTGGTTCTGGAGCCTCATCACCTGGGCGTAGTCCTGCCCCCATCGCTGACTATTGTGTGGCCTTAGGCTCTGCGCCAAACATTTCCATGTTGCGGTTCTCTCCACTGTGAAGAGGGAACAGTGGTGGTGCCAGTCTTGAAGGTTGGCTGGAAGGATTCAATGGCTAAGAATATTTAAAGCACTTAGAATGGTTCTTTGCAGTGGCAAGTGCTTTAAAAATGGTAGCTGTTGCTATCGGCTTAGAACAGAATGGTCCAGTACTCATCGAATAACTCCACTGTCTTTGTCTGCGTGTGTGTGCCTGCTAATGAGATGGTTAGAGGACTTTAAACTCTGGACAGATATTCGCGATTGCAACTACTTAGAACTGTAATTTTCTAGAGACAGTGGGAGGCAGAGTAGCTCAGAGCATTGGGTTTATTCACTTTGAGGTGTTAAGAGCATTGGGTTTGGAGTCAGAGGCACCAAGTCCCAGTTCTGTTACTTGTGTACCCTCCTGATGGTTTCGTCCCCTCTTCTGTGAAATGGAGTTGATCCCTCACAAGAATCTCATAAAGACAGTGGATATGGGTGTTTGGAACACGTACCAAATACTCAAACAATTGTGCGTGGGCATGGGGAGGAGTTGATTGATTGGGGTCAGATCTGTTTATGATTATTTCCCTGGTAACAAACTACAGAGACGGGACTTTGCTCAGGGCAGTAGGCCTCCAAGAACAAAAGGGAAACAGTTTTTTTTAAACTTCAAGAACGTTGACAAATTGGAAAACTAAGAAGGGCAAACAGCAATTTGTTGCTGTCAGTATCAAAACCATAAGTGTGGGGGTGGACAGTTTGGTTCAGACGAGTCATCCTGGATGGGTCCTGTCGCATCCAGGAATCCCACTTGCATGAGATGGGGTGACATCAGCATTACTGCTGGGAACAGTGATGGTGGCCCTGCTGCCCCCGGGCTTATTCACTGGTTCAAGGCTCTGAAACTTCAGTGGGTGTAAAATTCAAGTGGGGGACTTGTTCAAAGGGCACCTTCCAGTGCCTCCTCCCCAGAAATTCCAGTTCAGAAGGTTGTCGAGGTGTCCTGGGAGTCGGCTTCTTTCCTGGCTCTTTAGGTGCTTCTGCTGCAGGTGGTTAGAGGATGGCACCTTAAGACTGGGCAGAGTCTGTTCCCCTGCAGCTGCCCATCCACCAGCCTTTTCCAGCATTATGGTTTGCTTCCAAAAGGCAGAAACAAAAAAGCCAGTTTTGCTTTCTTTTCTTTTCTTTTTTTAACACTGATGTGCAACAGAAGGTTGCCTCTTGCACACCCCCAATGGGGGACCTGGCCTGCAACCCAGACATGTGCCCTGACCAGGAACCAAACTGGTGATCCTTAGGTTCACAGGCCGGCACTCAGTCCACTGGGCCATGCCAGCCAGGGCCAGCTTTGCTTTATTTTGAGCCAGAGCACTATTTAATAACCTGTGTTAATTGTGCCTTACAACACTACACGGATGGCAGTGTTAATTCCATTCAACATTAGGGGAGCCAGGGACATGAGGAAGATTTTTTAGGGGTGCAGTGTGGTTCGGAGCAAGCATGAATTATGGACAAACATTACATAGGTCCTTCAGTTTGTCCCCAGCCATCTGGGTACAGCTAAACACATCTGTTTCTACTCCTGAAGAGGATACTCCAAAGCTGCCACACAATGTAAATTCTGTCAAAAGAGAGGCTTCCATTTGTCCATTTCTCTGGTTCATAGGGATGTTCTGGGGAGCCTTGGTTCACCGTGATTGGCATTCATTCAGGGCCCAAGTACTTAACTCTGAATTTTGATTTGGGCATTTGCCAGGACCAGTATTCTGCCAAAGCCTTCCCAGTCTGTTCTCTGCTGTTTTGCTCTTGAAGATTTACAGCTAATGAAGGGATAAAGGAAGGTCATGGCGAGAGGAAGCAGCATGTGGTGGTGACTCACGGCCTGGGCCTGGTGCGGAGCCAGTGCGGGCGGAGTGCCCGACTGGCTGCCGCGCTGGCTTTCACGTGGCTCTGTCCCATGGCCTGCTGGATACGGGTTCCCGCCTGTTGCTGGTCAGAGGGAAGGCCGTCTCGTTCTCCCCATCTTGCTGTCGTGGACCCAGGTCAGGCCAGTGAAGCCCAGTGGCCATTTGGCAAAGAATCTCACAGAATAGGGGCTCAAGAGCTCTGGAGACAGTGGGATGGGCTGGTCCTAGGAGGGGTCAGGTCTTAGAGACCAGCCCCAGCCACCAGCTAGTGCACATTGACAGCGGGGGCTGAAGGAAGTTGGGAGATGCTGGCACTGGCAGGAAGAGTTTCTCAGCCTTGGCATGCACTGACCTTGGTTTAGGACCAGTTAGATAATTTTTTGTTGTGGGAGGGACTGTGCTGGGCATTGTTGGATGTTTAGCATCCTTGGATTCTACTCACTAGATGTCAATAATATACCCCCAATGCATCCCCTTTGCCCTCCCCTCCCCGCCAACTAATGCAACTGAAAAGTCTCCAGACATTGTCATATGTCCTCTGGAAGCAAAATAACCTGTGTTGAGAACCACGGTGGTAAGGCTGAGTTCCAGCCATGTGGCCAATGTTAAGAAGATCTGTCCTCCACGTTTTTCTCATCTTTTTTTAATCATCACCATCATCACTAAAATGTATCAAGCACTTACTCTCTTTTGCACTCATTATCTCATTTATCCACACCACAGCCCCATGATGAAGAAACTTTTGTTGTTCTCATTTTGTACACAAGAAAAATGGAGTTTACAAGAGTAACAGGTCCAAGGTCACACACCTGATTTTGGGGACTCAAGCACAGGTGTCTTCCTCACCCTGTTGCCACATGTAATGCAACCGTAATGCGGAGTCTGGGAGAAGGGATGAGGCGCAGGACCAAGCTGTCCTGTAGTGTAAGGAGCTGCCACTGGGAGGCAGGGCTCCCAGGGCTGGGACTCCGCAGTGCAACCGCAGGCCCTGTGAAGGGAATCAAGGACTTAGAGGAACTTGAATAATTTGATTAGGACAGAGATCCAGCTACGGGAACTGAGATGCAGGTTGGGGATTTGCCACAGGTGATCTTCTACCTAACATCCTCTATCTGTTCCTGACCCCTGACCCCTGAGATGTGACACCCAGTGTGAGTCCAAACGTGCCTTTTTCATTTTAAATACCGTCCATCGGACTGTGGTCTTGTAGCCCAACCATTTCTTTCCCAAGGCCAGCCCTTCTCCTCCCTGAACCCCTGCTTCTTCCGTTTGCCCCCAGCAGCCTTGGGTTGGGGATATGTCTGTTCAAAGTACTGCACAAGATGAGGTCGCCGGTCACCTCTGGCACACTGAAGAATACATGACAACTGAAGCTGCTGTGAGCCCAGCCCAGGTCTGTGTGAAAGACCGAGGATGTGCGGGAACCAGTGGTTCTGAATTGAATGCCAATAGTCAGGGCCAACGCTGGGCAGGTTTGTTCGATAACTACTGTACGTTTTAATGGAAGGCCAGGGCCTCTGGTAGGGTGTTTCCCTCAATATCAAGGACCCCACGTGGAGGTGAGGAAGATGCTACTTGAAATCCAAATGAGCCTCTCCAGTGGGCCTTGAAGGCTATTTTCTCCTTAATGGGGCAGAAGGGATTTTGGAGGGCACGGTTGTTTTCCAGTCTGCCTGATGCCTAGGACCAAATGGACTTTGTCTGGAAAGTGACACCATCAAATAGCACTTCAATTTCACAGACTTCTCCTCTCTCCCTACCCAATCAATCAGCACTCAAAC